TGGAAATTATTATTAAGCCTATTAGACTATGCATTGAAAACTGAGATTAAAGATCGAAGATTGGAAATTTGACCAATCGAGAAGAAGCAAACAAATATTATTTCTTTCTAATTGGTCAAATTTCCGAATCTTCAATCTTTAATCTCAATCTTCAATACGTAGTTTGATACGGGCTTTATATATTTAATTAAAAAATAGTTGATAATATCGATATCACCACTATCGATATATCCCATTCGATATTTTTGATACATCGATATTTTATTTACGATACATATTGATATAAAATATCGATATTTTCTATTGTATCGCCCATCCCTAGTTGGAACGGCAATTTGGCAATTTTCGTATCAGCAACTCACAATCAGTTACTTTTGGTATCTTCTGATGTCTCGAAAAGCCACAGTTCCAGGCCTGCAAAAATTACAAAACATTCCATAAATTCTAGACATTGCACAAAAATTTAATCAATAAGCTGCAACAAATAATTACAAATCTATATATAATAGTCTATAATAATAACCTTTATATACATGACAGGAACTCTACTTATAAACTCTTTTATAAACTCTACAATGGTCCTCTCATAATAGGATTATTTCGAGTAGCAATTTCGTATTGCCATTCAATTTCACCAGCTTTGCTTACAAAGTAGTCCCTTAAGGTATTTCTAAGTTTGATGGCATCAGCGGCTGCATTGTTATTACCCATCCTTCCAATTCGTTGGAATATATTTATATCAGGCACTTCTCTACGCCATGCACCATTTTGAAATAGCTCACCATGTGACCCTTCCTGGTCAGTCAATCCTTGAACATTGTATCGATGTTGTTGCGTTGGCAATTCTTCTTCAGAAGACAGAAGGAAATTATGGAGCACCACCAAAGCTAACACTATTGTTTCACAGGTCTTCAAATTACAGGCGATGCTGCCTTTCAAAATGGTCCACTTTGCCACAAGAATACCGAAGGCATTCTCTATAACTCTCCTAGCCCTTGAGAGTCGGTAGTTGAAAATCGTTTCTGGCATTCCCAGACCCACAACAACATCTCTGTCGTAATAATTTTCTTCATTTCTTTCTCCCTTTTCTTGCTGTCCTTGGTTTCTCCTTCGCTTGGGTTTTGCATACGGTCTCATCATAAAGGTTCTAAGAGGAAATGCAGCATCACCGACAAACGTAAAAGGCATTGGTTCCACCATTCCAGGCCAATGCTGAGGGAAAGGTAAATCCACTTGTCCTCTGTCCAGGCTACGACCAAAGTCGGAGTTTGCCCACACTCCACCATCAGAAATGCCACCTGAAAAAAATTAATAGTTCTCATTTAGCAAACAAGCATTATCATAGGTTTAATTCCACACAATACCTTAATAATACACATACCATAGTCACCTATATCTACCCATGTAAATTTATAGTTTGCATCGCAGGCTGCCATCAAAACAATTGAAAAAAATTTTTTGTAGTTATAATAAAGTGAGCCTGTTCTGGGGGGAGCTTGAATTCTAATATGTTTTCCGTCAACTGCTCCCTAGCAGTTGGAAAAATTCCATTGGTGCCAAAATTCTTGTGCAATTTCTTGCCAGTCATTCCTCTGCATTAGAGGTAAATATATTGGCTGCAATGTTATCCATGGGTGTTTACGATAATTCAAGTTCGAGTTAGTTTCACTAGGACCGAAAAATGAGATAGACATAACCATCTAGAATCTTTATGATTTATGACAACTCAACGCTGTCTTGTATTGCTTGAGTTAAATTAATTGAATTTGTTGAGTTTATAGAGCAAATTTTATTGTAATAAAAAAATGTCAACTGCAAATCAGTCTATGAAAGAAACAAATAATGTTGGTATGTATGTTGGTATACCTCTTTAATAGATATAATTATATATATATGTATATAATTATATTTATTAAATTCAACAAATTCAATGAATTTAACTCAAGCAATACAAGACAGCGTTGAGTTGTCATGAATCATAAAGGTTCTAGATGGTTATGTATATCTCATTGTCGGTCCTAGTGAAACTAACTCGAACTTGAATTATCGTAAACACCCCATATTACGGCACAAGTCTCTGGAATTATTTTATACACAGTTGAACGTCCAATCCGAAAACTCCATTTCTTCTGCCACACACTATCGGCATGACCAAGATATCTACAACATTGAAGTAAATATAATCTTAACTCAAATATAAAGACTCAAATAATATCCAAAATTAAACAAAAATCAAGAACCAAAAAGGATATCCAGCATTAGACTCTTTGACTCTTGATTTTTGTTTAATTTTAGATATTATAATTTTGAATTACAATTTCTGATTATTACACTACGGCATACATAGAAAAAACAAAATTAATTAATTTACCTCAAAGTGACGGCAAGACGTAGCTCTGGAAAAGGTCGTCGCATGCTCTTCTTCTTCAAAAGAGGACCAACTTTTTCCAACAACCAGTCAAATTGTGTAGGAGTCATTCTTGTGTACTTGTAAAATTCTTCGTAATCTGTTTCTTTTAATTCATGAAACAAGTTCATGAAATCCCTTTGCTGAGTGAATAGCCTGTTCACAGGTCTGCGCCACCACCTAACATTATGTAAATAAAAAATATTAGTCACCTACTTCAATGTTCCAATAGCTAGATAAATCATTTTCATATTTATACTAGATAAAAAGAACTAACCTTCGACCATTGGCTTAGTTTACACCGATTGTTTAGTACGCGTACCAAGTACTAAATCTGCTTCTTTGATAGGTATAAATTGTTTAGTGTAAAATCTACACCAATCAAAGAAGCAGATTTAATACTTGGTACGCGTACTAAACAATCGGTGTAAACCTTTGACTATAGAAACCTGGACTGCTAGTCTCCGCCCCTTTGCCTATCTTCGCAATGCTAAAGAGATCTTTGACTATAGAAACCTGGACTGCTAGTCTCCGCCCCTTTGCCTATCTTCGCAATGCTAAAGAGATGTAATAAACATAGGTTAGGTTTTAGCTCCGCCTTTTGACCAAAAAGCGGTAAATTCAAACGTGTAATATGAGAACTTTGAATGGGAAAGATGTAGTAAACAAAAGAAAAAGCTTTTGAAGTAAATGTAATATCACAGTTTATGTTAAAATATTAATACTGCATTTTTATATACAGCTAAAACAATATTAATTATATATATTACTTATATAACTATATAATAAAAACTGTGTATAATTATTACTGACCTTTAAAAATAGTAATTTTAGTATTAGCATGACGAACAAAATTATCATGCAAGCGAAGAGTGGCAGTTTTTCCGTAATAATATAATTTAACATCTAAATATAATTTTATTATTAATTAATCAATTCATATTTATGATTTTGAAGGAAATCAAGATCTTTGATATGAGAGTCGAAATTTTTAAAAATATTATTTAGATTTAAGTGTCGCAAAACAGTGACAATCATTTTATTATACGCATTTTTTGATTGCAGTTCATTTTGTATTCTATATATATTATATATTTTCTCTGCGAATGTAGTGATTGTGAATGTATCTGTTCTAGGAAAGCGTAGACCACCACAAGACTTCCTCGCAATGAAATCTGAATGTGCTTTATCGCTCTCGTTTAGCAATATGAAGCAGGTTTCGCATGTTAATTTTTGTAAAACTCGCATTTCTACGAAACCGGCAATGTATAACGCGGCATGATTTGCACCTGAACCTGCTATAGAATAAAGTGATAAATAATCATCCACATTTTTGAGATTAAAAGGCTAGTTCGCTTCGCATGCTGTCGAAATTTTTTTAGCTGATGAGACAGTTAAGATGCTAGTAGTGTCGAGCGGCATGCAATTTGCCTGCGCTGATGATTTCACCTCGTTATGATATAATAGTCGTTTATACGACGACGTGAATTGTTTACAATTAGGATTATTGTTATAACCCCCCATAGCGCGGAAACAAGAAAACAATATTTCTAAATGATCTTGTGACATTTTGTATGATAAAATGTATTCCAAATATCCTGTTTCGACGTATTGCATGTACAATCTTCTCAAGTTTTGTAAGTCTATTATAAAGCCCAAAAACCCGGTTCTTATTTTACTTTTGATTACGAATTGTCCGGCAGGCTCCAATTTCAGCGCAGAAAAGTAATCGATTGCCTTATCAAAAAATTTAAACATTTCTGCCGCTGTATCTCGTTTTATTGGCTTTTTAAAACCATACGAGTACAAACTTCTGGAATTTAGACAGTCGAAAGCAATATTCACTATTCGACAGAACTTCACAGTAGCAGTGCATCCAACAAAATTAGCATTGCCATCTTCTGATAGCTGTTCTAAGGCAGCTGCACAGCTTTCACTTAAAGTTTGGGCAGCTAATTTGACGTTCATTTTGTTCTTGAACCAAAGTATGTGCTTCTTGGTAAGTTTATTGGCCAAATGAAAATTCCCATTTTCTTGCAGCTCAACTAACTTCTACAAATATTCAAATTTTATGGAATTGCCGTCACTATCGTATAAAACACGTTTTGAAGCTAACGCATTTCTGAGTAATTTTAACATGTGAACAGCATCCAATATTATATAAACATAATGATTGTCTGTTGGATGCAAGAAAAAGGGCTTTTCATTATAAACATCCGCTTTAAGAGCGTTGCACATGGTAATATTTGAAGCGAGTCCATCGAAAGTCATGGCAATAACTTTTACTCCGGATGTTGCCACAAATTCCAAGACTTTTTTCGTAATTTCCGTTCTTTCTTGGGAAGTCAGCGAATTTACGAAAAAATACGCTACCGGAATTTTCCATCTTTCATTAAGGCACGTTAGCATATACACCAAAGCATATTTCGCTACCGGCAGATTTTCTTGTTTATCAACTGGAAATCCACAATCGACATATCCGATGAACTTATTTTTGAATTTACTCCATTCGACTTGCTGGCGTATGGACATTTCGTCCGTCATTAAACAACCATATAGTTGCTTTGTAGTCTGGTCCACCTTCTTTTTCAAAATGTCAATGGCTTCATTAGTGAAGCCTGGCGAACAATTTGTGCTCCCATACCAAGCCCGAATTGTTGATGGAGCCGGTAAGTTGTTCTTGAAAACGTGCCTTATATACTTGTATGCTTTCGGGCTATAAAAATTTACTGTTAAAGCGAAAGCACGAAGTTCCGGCGAATATTGTCCATTGACTTTTCCTTTCTGCAGCTCCGCAAGTATCGTGTCTTCCTGTGTTGTTGCCTAAGTTAATGTTATAAACAGGGCAGAGTTTGATATTACAAACAGGAAAGAGTGATATTAATACAATTTTATTAATTAATTATTCAACATACACAATTACTGACGTAAGTATACTTCAAAATTATCGTGATTATTATTAATGTATACAAGGTATACAAGGATATATGAACAATTCGAAATTATACAATTCCTTATTTAATCTTGTTACAATATGATTAATTTAGTAACATTATGATTAACCCTCCAATTTTAAACCGTAAACGTCTAACAGACATCTAATAGATATCTATTAGACTTGTATTCAACCTGTATTTCTCCCTGGGAATGATACATCATTTCCTACCTCTATAATTTCCGAAGCATTCTCTGAGAGGTCACATTTTTGTCGCAATTCACCTAATAGCTTTACCAAGCTTGCTATTTTCTTTTTATGACGAAATTCTTTAACCATCAATCTTTTCATACATTTATCTTTTGCCTTGCAAGCAGACTTCAGTAATCGAATGCAATGACTTTTTGTTTTTGGGGTCATTTAATCCACAGTTTCATCTTTAATATCTCCAGGATATCTGTAAATCTTTTTCGGAGTGCTCAATACATTACATGATAGGGTTGTCTCTGCTTTCTTTTCAGTTATCGAACTGCAAAAAAACATTGTTATTCATTTCAAGGTCCCCATAAAAAAAATATTAGGAAGAAAGATAAGAGAAGTAATATTGAATTTATATATTTTTTATTTAATTATGAATCCCTCTACCTCGTCCGTTGTGAATCATTCAGACTCGGGATGCATTGATGTTTCATCGACTGCGATCCATTGATCAGCAATCACTTCTGGATTTGAGGATTCATTATTTGAATCTGTTTCTGTGGTTATAAAATTTTCACTTTCTGGATGCTTCGTCGACTGTGAGATGCAATCGTCAGTGACATCTGCATTTGAAAATTCATCACTCGAAGCTGGTAGTAACTGCATCATGCTA